CACAGGAGCCTGTCAGGGCGTCGTGGGGGCTTCTTGGGGGCTTTGCGGGGTCCTCTTGGGGGCTCTTGGGGCCTCCTGGGGGCCTCGCGGGCTGGAAGGCTAGATTTTTTCCCGATTTTCGTCCCTCTTTTGGGTCCTCTTGGGGCCGTCTTGGGGGCCTCTTGGGCTGTCTTGGGCGGCTCTTGGGCCGCCTTGGGGCCCTCTTGGGCCGTCTTGGGACTGTCTGGGGGCCTCCTGGGCCGTCTTCGAGCGGTCTTGGGGGCCTCTTGGGCCGTCTTGGAGCGTCGGAAAGCAGAAACAGCGACAACCCCAAAAACATGAAAAACAACCAAGCGAGGCCTCTTGGAGGCCTCTTCAGACGTCTTGGAAGACTCTTGGGCCGTCTTGGGGCCATCTTGGGCGTGTTCGCTCGATCTTTCGGGGTCTCGGGACTTTCTTAGACCGTCCTCAGAGACTTTTGCGGCCGCGGCTACCCTTTTAGCGCATCCTCAAGATTAGAGCCTTCTGTAAAAGCAGCCCCCCGCGACCGCCGGAAAACTCGTCCCCCCCCCACCCCCCCTTCCCCGGCAGAGCCACCCCGGCAACCCCCCCAGAGGCTGAGGCTCAGCCTCGAGGCTGTAGCTGAGACACCTTGAAACTCACACGCCGGATCGGCGGATTATAAGTAGCAGTAGTAATAGTAGCAGTGGTAGTCGTAGCAGTAGCAGTAGCAGTAGTAGTAGGAGTAGTAGTAGTAGTAGTAGCAGCAGCAGTAGTAGTAGTAGTAGTAGTAGTACTAGTAGTCGTAGTAGTAGTAGTAGTAGTAGTAGTAGTAGTAGTAGTAGTAGTAGTAGTAGTAGTAGTAGTAGTAGTAGTAGTAGTAGTAGTAGTAGTGGTAGTAGTAGTAGTCGTAGTAGTAGTAGTAGTAGTAGTAGTAGTAGTAGTAGTAGTAGTAGTAGTAGTAGTAGTAGTAGTAGTAGTAGTAGTAGATAGTAGGTAGTAGATACTAGATAGTAGATATTAGTAGTAGTAGTAGTAGTAGAAAGAGGGGTAGGAGAGGAGTCAGCATGTAGTAGAATTTGTGTAGTAGTAGTTAGTCTTAGTAGTAGTAGTAGTAGTCGTCGTCGTTTCGTCTTCGTCTTCGCGGGGTTTCGTCGTTCGTTAGTCGTATAGTTGTTAGTAGTAGTAGTAGTAGTTACGTGTGAGTAGTAGTAGTCGTAGTTAGTTGTAGTAGTAGGGAGTAGAGTAGTATTAGTAGGTAGTAGTAGTAGTAATAGTAGTAGAGTAGTAGTCGTTTGTAGTAAGAGTAGTTCGTCGTAGTAGTAGTAGTAGTAGTAGAGTAGTCGTCGTTCGTCGGTTAGAGTCGTAGTAGGTCGTAGTAGTAATAGTAGTAGTAGTTAGTAGTAGTTCGTAGAGTAGTAGTAGTAGTAGTAGTAGTAGTAGTAGTAGTAGTAAGAGTAGTAGTCGTAGTAGTAGTAGTAGTAGTAGTAGTGGTAGTAGTAGTAGTTGTAGTAGTAGTAGTAGTAGTAGTAGTAGTAGTAGTAGTAGTGGTAGTGGTACTAGTAGTAGTAGTAGTAGTAGTAGTAGTAGTAGTAGTAGTACTAGTAGTTGTAGTAATAGTAATAGTAGTAGTAGAAGCAGTAGTCGTAGCAGTAGTAGTAGTATAGTAGTAGTAGTAGTCGTCGTCGTCGTAGTAGTAGTAGTAGTAGTAGAAGAAGTAGTAGTAGTAGTAGTAGTAGTAGTAGTCGTAGCCGTAGTCATAGCCGTAGTCGTAGTACTAGCCGTAGTAGTAATCGTAGTAGTATTCGTTCTTGTAGTTGTTGTTGTTGTAGTAGAGATATCAGGAGTAGTAGTCGTTCTGTCTTGTATTGTTGTTGTTGCAGCTGTGTTGGTTGCTGGTGTCGTTGCTGTTGTTGGTGTGTGTGTTGGTGTTGTTGGTGGTGGTGGTGTTTTTTTTGTTATGTTTGTTCTTGCTGTCTACAGAATACATGTTGTTGGGCCCCCCTCTCCGGTAACCGCTTGTTTTTTCCATCCAGGTGCCCTTTCCCGGGCTCGCACTCTGTTTTTTACAGGTGGATAGTTGGGGCCTCGGACTGTGCACCTGGCCCCCGGTTTACAAGAACAGCAACGGCTCCCGCCAGATACTTCTTCATTCGATCTTGAATAATGGTCGGGCTCTGGCTAGAGACTCCCTTGCACTCCACCCTGGAGTCGCGCTCTTCCGTGGGACCTCCTCGCAATTTGTTCACGAAGCCTTCCCTCGGCGCTCTGGAATCGCGGTCTCGCTCGGGACCTCCTCAGAACCGAAAAAGAGAGCCGCGCTGTCGCCTGAGACGTCCTCGTCATCCCCATCTTGCGATCCCCTATCGCTAATCCTTCTCGTCCTCATCTGTTCCCTCCCGACCTCTTGCCCCTTTTCCTCCGTCCTTCATTCTTCCACTCCCTTCCTCGCTCTATCCCTTTTCCATTATTGATGCTCTTCCCGTTTAAGGGCTGCGCCAATTACACGCTGCAGGGAAGGAAGATATATCCCCCGAAGGGGGCACAACCAAAGACTACCAGGGCGGGCATCGAGGATTTGGAAGATACATGTTGAATGACACGCGAGCAGATTCGAGCTAGCAATCTGAAGATGACTGTTGCTGCTGTTGTCGTCGCTCCAGGGACTCGCCCGTGACCCACCCCGTGACCCACCCCGCGACCCACCCCGCGCAGCCCACCCCGCGACACGCCGACGAGCCACCCCGGGCCCGCCCCCTCCACTCTTATCCGCAACTTCGGGGTGGCCCCGCCGGCGAGCCAGAATCGGCCGCTGTTGAGCGATGTGACGTTTCGGAGACGGCCCGCCGTTCAAGGCCGAACGATCCCCGCGGTGTCAGTCAGGGACCAGCGCCCGGGGCCGACACGGCGCGAACATGCCGCACGTGCCCCGACGGGGGCCTCCACTTGCTCCACCCCGCTGCCCTCGGGCCCGACGAAGGGGCAGGGTAGGGACAGCGAGGGCTGCGAGTTCTGCTGCATGCAGCCGGCTTCCGCCCCGCCGCCGGGCCCACTCCTCGACACATGGGCGAGTCCCGTCGCCAGGCGGCGCCAGGAAAACCAGCTGCGGGAGCTGACTGTTTGCCTCGCCCCCAGACCCCCCCGACGTCATGATTTTTCATGACGTCGACCCCCCGAGGCCTCGACCCATTCCCCGGGGCCGCTTTTTCATCCTGAGTCGTCGTTTGACGGCCCCGAGGCCCAGGAAGAGCCCCCGGAGGCCGAAAATGGCGAGACGTTCACCGTCGTGCTTCTTGTGTGTCACCGCGCGAGGAGGTCTGAGGTCCCTGGGTCTCTACCCTGCCCTTTGCTATCCTGCCCTGTTTCACTACCCACCAAACCACCCCAACCCGACCCGACGGCCTCAATCTGCCCTCCATTTCCAGCAGGGGGGGGTCGGGGAACATCGAAAACACACATCTGGAACCCGTACCCCCCCCCCCCCACCCGAAATCCGGGTCTTCGGGTTGGGTTGGGGTGGTCTGGCAGGTAGTCACTGTCGCCCCCACGGATCTCCCGCGACCTCCGCGGCCCCCCTCTGGCTCCGAGGGGGGCCGCCGCACTCCCCGGCCCGGGGGCCGCCCTCCGGCGGCGCAGAGGTGCCCCCATGGGGGCGGCCGCGGCGGCGCGCCGGGCGCTCCTCCTCGCGGCGCCCCTCGCCGCGGTCCTCTCGGCTGCGCGCAGGGAGTGGCCCCCGGAGGGGCTGTCGTCGGCTCCGGGAGGTTCCCGTCGGCGCTTGTCACGGGGAGGAAATTCACCACCCACCAAACCACCCCAACCCAACCCGAAGGCCTCAATCTGCCTTCCATTTCCAGGATGGGGGGGGTCGGGGAACATTGAAAAAGCACATGAGGCCCGTACCCCCCACAAACCCGAAATTCGGGTCAAATCCGGGTCTTCGGGTTGGGTTGGGGTGGTCTGGTAGGTAGTCAGAAAATGTTGATCTGGGTTTCTTCAGAAGCGTGGGTCAACCTCGCCTCGTCGTCGCGCCGCGACGGGGGTCGGAGCGACCTCGGCGCGCAGTGGCTGCCCGCGACGGGGGTCGATGTGGGGCTGTCGGCGCGGATGACGCCCCCCCGACGCTTTTTGAGAAGGAGTCGGAGTAACTACCCATACGCGACCCTTCCCTCGTTTTCGCCTTTTTGGTCCTCCCGGGAGGCTCTCGCTGCACCGCTGGATTCGCCACAGAACTCTGGTTTAGAACGCACCCCGGGAGAGGTTCGGGGAGAAGCGGTATCGGGACCTGTTGGTTCCCCCACCAGGGAGGTCATCATCATCTCTTGGGGGTTGTCCTGCCTCACCGAGGGCCTTCGCGGGGTGCCCGGATCGTCCCTAACGGCTGCCAGAGACCCGAGTCATGGCCCGTGAGTTGGACGCCGAAGTGACGCATCTCGCCAGAGTGTCCTCTGGTGCGGGCCCACTGGGGCCCCCCGATCGCTGAAGGCGGTGCGACAGCGGCGGCCTCCGCGCCAGGGTGTGGCCCCCTTGTCCCCCCGCAAGCCGCGCACTGGAGGTCTATATGACGAATGGGCAACACACACCCATACCCATAGGGGGTGTCGGCGAGGGCTAAGGGTGCGTGTTGTCGGATGGGGGTCCCCGCTCGAACGGGAGCGTCCCCCAGCTTCCGACAACCCGCACCCATACACATAGCCAGTCCTCCTCCCAATGATTCCCCTACGGGTATGGGTGTGTGTTGTCCGATCGTCACTATAGGCTTCCCAGAGGGATCCGAGCTGCTGGGGTCGGAGGATCGCGCCGCAATCGCCCATGCACCGGCGATGCGCTTCGATGGGGAGCAGGAGTTTCTCCACGTCGGCGTCGCCGATGCACCGCCGACGTGGCCGATGCACCAGCGATGCGGCGCGATCCTCCGACCCCCTCTACTCGGACCTCATCTGGGAGGCCCCTGACTGAAGGCCAATCTTGCCCAGGGCCACTCTTGGTGTGCAGCCGAGCCTCGCGGGCACCCCAGCCTCCAGGGCCGCCCCCGCGTGCGAGCAGAACGAGGCGGCCAGGCGGCGGTCCTCGTACAGCTGCGAGCAGCTCCGGGCGGAGGGCTTCTGCGGCGGGGGCGGGAGCTCAGGGGCAACGACGGGGTGGGGATAGGCTCTAAGGGGTGACGCATCGACCCCCCAATCGGCTCAGGGGGGTGACGCATCGACCCCCAATCGCCCAGTCGTTGCCGATGGGGGCCCGGCAGCCCCCACCTGCCCAGGAGCGTGCGGGTGTGCCATCGGGGGCCCGTCGCCGAGCTATCGTCGAGTCCAGCTCGTCGTGCCCCCCGGTGAGCAAAAGTCCCCCGCACCCCTTGCCGTGGCCTCGCAGGAGCCTGGGGAGCGAGGCCCAGGAGACGTGCCGGCTGAGCTGCGGATCGGGGTGTGGCCTTCCCTGCAGGGCCGACGATGCCACCCGCCGGCGGTCTGGGTGGAGCTGTCAAGCAATGTTCGACGCGGGATTCTGCGGTGCAGACGGTGGTCTGGGCGTTGAGATGGAGGAGGCGTGCCACACCACTTGCCACGAAGCCCTCGGATGCCTGCCGCCCTGCAAGCCCGACCACGCCAGCCGCCGACGTTCCGAGCGGAGTTGCAAGGAGCTCTTTGACGAAGGCTTCTGCGGTGTGGACGGTTCTCTTGGTGTGGAGACGAGGGTGACTTGCCGCACCACCTGCCACGGCGCATTTGCATGCGTTCCGCCCACCTGCGTGGGCGGTGGCTGCGTGCTGCCGACAACAGAGAACGACGCCGACGGAGATCAGAGCACGACGGGCCCGGGTGACCGCGCCCCGCCTACCGCCCGACAGCAGGCTTTCTCGATGCTGGCCGTCGCCGTGCCCTTGGGCGCCTCCGTCGTCTGCTGCTGCAGCGTCGGCATCTGCGCGATGTATTGCCGGAGGGACAGCACCTTCACTCCGACGGTCCAGGCCCACCAGCGCCAGGGGACTGGAGCATCCTACTCGTTCGGGCGCGGCGGCGGAAGGTCCGTCTTCAGAGGCAGTGGTGGCGCGGCTGCCGGCACTGCCAGCAGGTGGACCTGGCAGCCGGGCAAGTCGTATCGGGCCCGTCCCGCGGAGGCGGCGCAGGCAGAGCCTCGTGGGCGTCCTGGCTCCACCGCTGGCGGCACGGCTGCCAGCCAGACAGCTCACGCCCAGCTCGTGGAGGCAGAGCCCGTCGATCCGGCGTGGCAGGGTGCTCCGCAGCAGGCTGCGACGGCGGATGCGGCGCAGCTGGAGCCCCTAGAGGACACACCGGCCGGCGTGGCCGCCGTCTCGCAGGAAGCGATATTCCTTTGCCTTGGCCAGGCGGAGGCGGAGGGCGCTGCTGAGCCCCTCCCAGAGCGGGGCGCAGAACAGCCCAAAAGGAAGAACAGAGTCAAGAAGAAGCCTGGGCCGGCTTCTCCTTCGAAGAGTGCTGGCCAAGGCAGGGCGAGCGATGACGACGGCGACGCCGACGTCGCCGCCAGCAACGCCGCCTCGCCCGCGCGGGTCGGGAAGGATGTCGGGGCCAGCGCAGAGGCCACTGCTGGCCCTGCCGACGCGCGGGAGGCCCAGAGGGTGTCGGGAGCGCCTCCCTCTGCAGGGCGGAGGCAGGCGGAGCAGCAGGAGGCCGTCGGGAGGCGCCGCTCCCTCCGCGCCTCCATCTTCGCGGGCAGGCTGGACGCGGAGGGCCCAGAGGGTGCTGCGCAGCAGGAGGCCACGGGGAGGCGCCGCTCCACCTTCGCCTCCATCTTCGCGGGCAGGCAGGACCCAGAGGGTGCCGCGCAGCAGGAAGCCACGGGGAAGCGCCACTCCACCTTAGCCTCCATCTTCGCGGGCAGGCTGGACGCGGAGGACCCAGAGGGTGCCGCGCAGCAGGAGGCCACGTGGAAGCGCCGCTCCACCTTCGCCTCCATGTTCTCTGGCTGGCAGGCACCAGAGGATCTCCAGGGTGTCGAGCAGCAGGAAGCCACGGGGAGGCGCCGTTCCACCTTCGCCTCTATGTTCTCGGACAGGCAGGCGCCAGAGGGTCAGTGCGGTGCTTTCTTTAGGTAGACTCGATATTTGTGCAGTCTTTTCCTCACTGACATCTGGCACATCCGGTGCTCCCCTTGGGATCACCTCTCCAAAAAAACATCATCAACAAGCGCGACAGGCTTCTGATGTTGCGTGTCCAG